TGAATCTACAATTGAAGATTACATGTTATTAGTAGCATCAACCAATCAAGACGTATTACTTACCATTTCAGTTATTTACTTAACACATATTATCGCATCTAAGATCCACGAGAGCACATTGTTTCAATTCCATCCGTGCTTCATATGTATGTGCTGTGTCATCAATACTTTCGTCCACATTGTCTGATAAATTACTACCTCTGCTAGGTAAGGTCCATCGATTAACCGATTTGTTTTCTTCTGTACTAAATAGTTTTATCTCTAACAAGCGTTTTCTAAATTGATCATGTGATAAGCTTTTCCAATTACGAATATCAAGTAAAAACTCAGCGTCTTCTAACCCAATTGATTCATAAATAAACCCGAATAAACCATCTTCTAACTGCCAACTACCTTCAGCTATTTTGATATTGCCGCGTGAGACAGTTTTTCTAGGTGGTGTACGTTTGTAAAATAAATTCCATGATGATCTAAAAATTGATCGTCGTAAAATGTGGAAAAATTCATGTAACATTTTCAGTAACATGGAACAGAACATGATAACATTTTCGTTTAGGTTTTCATTATCATTAACTAATGGTAACAAGACAATATTTTTATTAAAAACCAATGTTCGATTAAAACACGTAGCAGCACCACAACAAGTAGATAAATTTGCAAATGATAGACCACGATGATCAAATATGGTGCTAATTGTTTCATCAATTGTTTCTGAAATAAAGAAAAATTAAGTAGAGTGTTTATCAGTACAACACATGAAAAAAACGTATACCGGTTGTCGGTACAGATGGGTGCCTCGCGAATCCCTCAAACCACCAGAAGATTTGCAAGCTTTTATTTAAGAGTACATTACGGTCTTGAAGTCAGGTTGATGAAGATCTAAATAAAACTTTTGCACTCATTATTTTGCTTTTCACCTAGTGCATATCAGGCTGGAATTTCCAAGCAATTTTTCGCCCACTTACGAGGGAAGTACCCCAACTGTTTAAACGCTTTTGGTCTGAAGCTTAGTAGACAATAGGTAATCGAGTGTGCTGAATCCGAATATCACATTGGTTTGGGCCCAATTTTA